GGTTCATTATCTCTCTGGCTACTTTGTTCAGGATAAACTGAGGCATGGATCAAGAATGAAAGCAAGACCCGGCATGGTGACTTATGCCTATAATCCCAGCACTCCAGAGGCAGAGGCAGGAGGATCACCTTGAATTCAAGGTGCAAGACTCTGTCTCAGAAAAACAGGCATTGGTGGTACATGCCTGTAATCCCAGCACTTGGAAGGCTGAGGCAGGAAGATCACTCTAAATTTGAAGCCAGCCTGAACTGCATAATGAAACCTCTCAAAAAGACACAAAAAAACAAAAGGGAATAGAAGCAAGAAGAGTAGGCAGCAAGCTCTTTCCAAAATCTAGTGAGTCATGAAATCAATTTTAGATGGCCATGAATATTGAATAAGTACAAGAAAATAGAAGATCAATGCATGGCATATAATAGATGGTGGACATTATTAATGAGTTTATGCTAAATAAATGATATGCTGGGACAGTAGGACATGTATTTATTACAGAGGGTAACTCTGAAAACATTTGAAAGTCATTGTTCGGAGGCAGCTATATTACTGCCAACCATAGAAGACTGGTTTTTAGGTGCATTCTCATTAAGTGGTTCCTGTGTGGAACTATGGAACAAGCTGTCTTCTAACTTTTCTTTCCTCTAGCTTATATTTGTTGTTGTTGTTACTGGTGGTGGTGGTGGTGGTGGTGGTGGTGGTGGTGGTGGTGTGTGGGTGTGTGTTTGTACTGGGAATTAAACTGACTATCTCTTTCCTCCAACTTTGTGGCATTGTTATGTAATGCTCAGTGAACCCACCCTTTTCTTTTCCTGCCACAGAGATTGCCTATTTACTTGCATATTTTGCCCCCACCCCCTTCTTTCTGTGCTGTTACTGTTGCTGTGGGTTGATGTAGTAACTGCCATCTCAGTCTCCTTCCCCATGCTTGTTTCTTCTTGCTAACCATTGTTCACTGAACTCTTCCTTGTGGAGGTCTGGGCTGATCCTTTGTGAGATAGAAGATAGAAGATTGCCTACCAAACTCCTCACTGAGTCACAAAGTTCATGATAAAGGGAGATTGAATAAAGCAGAAAATCCTGAGAACTGAGCTGTTTTAATCCTGTGGGAAAGTCTAGTATGCTAGAAGAAATCTGTTATGTCACCAAAATGTGAGTTGATTCTGTGTGACTTGTGGGCTCCCTGGACCAAAACCAAAAATATTTTAGCTCTGGACATGTTCCTCTGGAGGATGAAGATTAGGAAAACTGTTTGTATCTGCCGCCCATGTTTGCTTTGTGGATGGGCTTCATATGCCATTTTATGTAATGATTTCTTTATCAAAAATTTGGTCAAACTGGACATGATAGCATACACCTGTAATCCCTGCATTCAGGGAGGTTGAGGCAGGAGGATTGCTGTGAGTTCACGGCTACCCAGCACTACATAGTGAGCCCTCATCTCAAAAATTTAGTCAAACCCTTTGCCAACCTCAGTCAGACTTAAATATCTGGATGTTCAACAAGTATACTGAACTCAATTCACTTTCAAGCCAGAAAAGTGTAATGGTGAATCATGTTCAGGAAACAATAAAATTGTTCAGTCGTGTGTGTGTGTGTAGACAGGGCTTTGCTATATAGTTCAGGCAGACCTTGAATTCACTCACTCTGTAGCTCAGCCTGGCCTTAAACTCAAAGCAGTCCTCCTGCCTCAACTTCCCAGGTGCTGCATTTACAGGTGTATGCCACCAAGACTGACAACATTGTGTTTTTCTTGGTCCTTCATTAGTAGTTCTTGTTCCCTTTAGATAAATTTCAAACTTTGATTATACTGTTTAAAAAAAAAAAAAAAAAAAGCCAGGCATGGGCATGGTGGCACATGCATCAGTCTTCAGCTCAAAAGGAGGCAGCTGAGGCAGGAGGATTACCTGAGTCTAGGGCTCTGAACAACATCGTAAGTCTTGTCTCAGAAACAAAACAGTAACAACAAATCAAAGAAACAAAAGAGAAAGCCCAGGTTCTTCAGCTGCTCTCCCCCTTTACAATTTATACAAAAGAAATGGGATTATCAGGTTTCTAAACACACTTGAGTGGGAGCAGTGTGGGTTTATGACTCCTTGAATTTGCTTAATTTTTACCTAGTTGTAGTGTTTTTCAGGACTTTTGTTACAGGAAGTCCAGTATGTCCCATATTCCTTGTACATCATCCTGTTCTAAAGCAAAGACTGATGAGAGTTTTTTCTTCCAGCCAAAGGACCTCACTTTTGCTTCTCTAAACAAGATTATTGTGACTCTCTGTAGGAGAGATCTAAAAAGTATAGGCAAGAGAAAATTCAGTGAATTGTCTTGAAGCCCACAAACAGATGGCTGTGTTGTGGCCAAATTACAAATAGTGGATCAAGGAGCTTGGGTGTGGGTAACATGGGCCTGCATGCTTGTCGTAGGTGGGCTGAGGAAGTTCCCGTTAACGGATGGAAAGGGAGTTTGCCAGAGGCTCCACTTCTTGCTAGGTGCTTGAGTTGACACAGGCCCTGCTGCTATGGAGGGTAGAGCCAGCCAACTTTCTTTCGGTTGAGTCTTGTTTCCACCTCCTACTCCTCAGTTCTACAGCTGCTGGTTTATTTGCACACTCCTTGCTGATCTTGCATTCAAAGCCTCTCGTTGTTTTTCAGCTCAGTATTTAGATAACACCACATGCCTGTAAAGGAAGTGCCTGGACTCTTTAACAGCCCTGTCATTTCATTCTCTGTATGTGAGTGTGTGTGTTTAGTACCATTGTAGAACATTTTATCTGCAGGGATTATTACTTGGGGGCTGCAGAGATACCTAATATCTGATGTTCTGGAAGTGGTTTTTTAAGTCTCTTCTCTTTTCCCTTTTTTTTTTTTTTTTTTTTTTTTTTTGGTCTTTTTCCTTTTTATCGGTATCGGGGATCAAACTCACGACTGCCTGCTTGCAAGGCAGGCACTTATGCCACTGAGCTAAATCCCCAGCCCCCTCTTTTCCCTTTCATTCTACTAATAAGAGGATTACAGCTGTTTTCCCAAGAACCCTATCTCTGCACTTAGCTGCAGTGCCAGAACGTTCTTTCCCTTGCTGAGAAGACTGCTCTGGAAGCATGTGGGACACAGGACTGACTGACTGTGGTTGGTGTTTTTATAACCATACTAGGCTGGCGGTTGCTTTTGCTCTGTAGTTTCAGTGTTCCTCTTCCCATAGGGTATCTCCTTTCAGGCTATCTTAATCTGGCAGAAAAAAAAGTATTATAGTTTATGTCTAAATAGCCCCTCAAAGCCTCATGTGGTCATAGGTTGGCTTTTTTCAGAGTGGCTGAATTTAGTTTGTGATGCTGGGATAAGGTGTGTGATTACTAAATGAGTACACTGGTTGGTTTGGCATTACCTTAATCCCAGCAGCCTGAATACAATACAGTGGATAGAAAGAGGCTTGTCTTGTCTTTTGCTTGCCTGCTTCTGTTGCCTCCTGCCGCCATGAAGTGGTTCTCCTCTGCCATGCCCTTCTGCTGTAGAGCTAGCCTCTTATGGATTGAAACCTCTATAAGCTGTCAGCTAAATAAATCTTTCCCCTTTAGCTTTGGGTGTCTTGAGTATTTTATCTCAAAAACAAGAAGAGTAATTAAGACAAGATAGTTTTTACTTGGTGAAATGCTATTAAAATTTCCTTTAAAATCTTTCAAAAAGAATCATAAATCTGATAGACTCTAATTTAGATGTTTTGAGGACATTTTTAGCTCTGTAATTTCTAGTATTTATAAGCTTCTCTAAAATTGCTGGAATTGCATCCTTTCCATAACAACTGTCTGTGCGAGTTACTAGCTCTCACATGGTATTCCTTTCTGCAGTATCCTGACACACATAAGTAAATTCACTTTCCAGGGCTGGGGGTTTAGCTAAGCAGTGTAAGTCCCTGCTTGGCAAACGCAAGGTTGTGAGTTCAATCCCTGGTACCAAAAAAAAAAAAAAAAAAAAATTCACTTTCCAACCAGCAGTTCAGTGATTTTAAGAATTGAACCTGAAATACAAAAAGAGAACTTATTATGGCATAGGCAGCAAGAAGTCTTCCCTCTGTAATCAAGAAACTTTAACTGCTAGAAAGATGAAACACAGAGACACTCCTTGAAATGAGTACTGTATAATTTCCTGGAACTATCTTCTGAGGCATCAAGAGAAATTATTTAGGACCATACTGTGACTTTTTAAAAGATGTTATGAACATTATGAAACTGCAGAATGTTAAGTGAATCAGGACATACTGTCCTCTCTAGTAAAGTTAAATAAAAACAGTGTGTATATTAACCAAAGTATATTTCAAAGTAAATACAAACTTGGGAATTGTAAAGGACAATAAATCATTTTCCTTTTTCATTTGTATGTACTTCTTGCTCTGCATTTAAACTGTAAAGTTTCCTTGAATATTTGCCCTGTGGTTATGCTATATGGAATATACAAATTCTCTGAAGCTGAGTAAAAATTCAAAAGTAAATGTTTATTGTCCTTTTGTGATGATTATTAAAAAATGTTCAGAAAAAGTATGAAGTACCCATTGTTGTTACTAGTGGTTTTTGTGTCTTTAATACAGTGAATAAATATTTGCTTAAATACTATGTATGATTAGCCAGTTGAAATGGACATAACTTTGCTGGGGTCTTGATGAGTATGTTTTTGAGGAGTGTACCTATCTTGGGTAACAAAATACATGGTTTAATGTGTCTCTTTTTTCAAGACGTTTTATGAGCCTTGTAAATTTATGTGGAATTTATCTTTTAAAGATTGAAAGGGGAGACCTGACATTTTAAGTAACTTACTTTAATTGCTTTAATGTAACCAAGGAATCATTTTGATCATTATCATCATCTAACTACTGCATGGAAATACCCTTTTGGTGAAATTCTTATACACAAATCTGATAGGAAACGTTGAGTATGTGTGAAGAAGTAAATTTACTGTGTTTTACAGACTCTTATCCCATCTAACTCATTCCTGACCCCTGTACTTTTTGTTTTTCAGTTCTCTCCTGCGCTATGGTGGCAATCTGTCCCTCCAAAGTGCCATGAGTGTGCGATTCAACAGTAATGGGACCCAACTCCTGGCCCTGAGGCGGCGTCTGCCTCCTGTTCTGTATGATATCCATTCTCGCCTGCCGGTGTTCCAGTTTGACAATCAGGGTTACTTCAACTCCTGCACTATGAAAAGCTGCTGTTTTGCAGGAGATCGTGATCAGGTGAGTGCCTTCTGCCTCCTGTATCCCTGTGCCTTTTTGTTCTGGTCTCAGTGTCTCTTAGCACCATGACAGGTAGAAACAGGTATTCAGAATTCATAGTGAGTTTTTTTTATCCAAGCTGCTAAAAGGTACGTATGAGAAATATATCCTAACAAAGCCTGGTCACTGGTCACAGCCAGGTTCTGAGTAACCCATCTGTACCACTTTTGTGAATGAATTTTAAGATCCTGAGAATGTGCTATTTCCACAAAAACGAAAATTGGCTTGCCAGTGAGAGGCAGACGTGTGTGCATGCGTGTGTGTGTGTAAAACAGTGATGAATGAAACACCCTAGGTACCATCCAAGTAATGTATCTTAAATGATCTTTTATGATGGCAATTTTTTCTTGATTAAATAAGGCAGTTTTGTTTGAGGAGCCCAGTGTTGACTTTTCTTTTTACTCCTAGCATCACCACTGGGACTGAAGAGTCCCAATTGAGTTTCCAACCTTTCTTTGTCACTAAATATGGAGATATTGGAGTTGATTTAAAGCCGGCAGTTTAAAAATAAACTTGATATTCTTGATGTTGAAAGTACCTGTCCATCTTGGTCTTAGCATTTCTGAAGTATCAGCAACCAGCTAGATAGGTCTGAGTAATTTAGCCGAGTCAAGACAAATGTAGAAAAAATTAGTATTCAAATAAACAAGTAGAATTTTTTTATTCCAAGGATGAGGACTCTTCCTGCTATTTTATATCTAAACTATAAAAAGCAAAACTCTAATCTCTTGCTAATCTTTAATGTCCTCATCTTGGTCCTAACAACTGAGTCATATTAAGACATAATTCTCACAGGCTATAACTTACCTCTTTAGTTACTTTATGGCAAGAAACATTTTTAAAAAACTTTTTTTTCTTTGAGACTCTTTTAAGACTTTGCTTTCTAAAGGCAGAAGCTAGGATTTTTCTCCCTAACCCCTAGAGACTAATGTTATAGTTAAGGACTTAGTATGTGTAGTAGGAGCAAAATAAACCCTTGTTGAATCCAGTTGCATGTAGATAGAGGAAAGTCTTTTGTTTTCCAAGATAAAGATCCACTCTTTTTTTCTTTTCTTCCTTCCCCTCATCATACTCCTCTGACCTCCCCTCTGCTTTTCTAGTAACTGGTATTACATGTGTGTGCCATCATATCTTTCTTCAACTTCCCTTTTTTTATAGATAAGAGAATATATTCCTAAATACAGAGTTTGTACTCATGTTGAAAATCCTGAAGCCTGCTTAGCTGAGAACCACACAAGAGCCCACTAGATGGCCTCAGTTGTATGAGTGTGTCTCGTTGGGGATGCAAAGGCAATGACTCTTGCTTTAAACCAGTCAGAGATACTCTTGAGTCTGTTCATACTCCCTTGTATAATCAGAGGTGTATGACCTAGGGAAAACGAAGTGGAGCACAATAAATATTACTTGAAGTAAATATTGAGTGTTTTGATTAATGTGTGGTATTTAGTCTTCTGGGCTTAAGACTTCTCTAACTGTGAATCCAGATTGATAAATACTAATTTTTCTATTCAATTTTGAGGGAGTTTTTGGAGGCCGAATTAAATAATGGATTTAAGTAAAACTAGATAACTGAGCTTACAGTTTTTAAAAGCTACACAAGAAACCAAACTGACTGTTCTAGTCCTAGAACATCTCTCTCAAAGGCAATTCGTAAACTGACTTCCACCACTCAGGGCTAAAGCAGCAGTTGCCATGGTTCAGTATGATCTCTACAACTGACATGTATTCTTGAACTGGTCCAGACAGGAAATTTTTGTTGCTTTCAAATTTCAAAGCCTGTACTTTCCTTATTTTGGTCTTTACCTGTCTTCTTCCACCTCCCTCCCTGCCACAATGGGATCTTGCTATGTTGCCCAGGCTAGGCTATAACTCACAATCCCCCTGTCTCAGCCTCCCAAATACTGTACTTTGGGAACACAGGCATGTGCCACCATGCTCATCTCTCTATGTGCTACAGCCTGAGACTATGTGCCCTGCAAGTCTTCATTTAGTCATAGGCTGGGTAACTATGCCAGAGAGGAATCTTAAGAATTTCCATAATAGGAACGAACATGGACAAGAAAAGCAGGAAGTGATCCCTCTATCTGAAATAGTCTTCTGGCTTTTAATAACAAAGAGACTAGTCAGACTACACAAATGGATCAGATATTATGCCAGAGGACCTGTACTTCTTTTTAGACTATCCTAAGTTCACTGCATAATTTATTAACATTTCAAGAAACTGGGCTTAGGAATAAGCATGAAATATATTGAGCCTACTTTGTTTCATCCCCATGTTTCTTGCCATCGCCATAAATGCATTCTAACCATAGACCTGTTAATAATAGTTTTGTGTTCAGAAAGGTTAGGTACAAATCACCACTTACACAAGTCTGTTGCTAAACCAGAACTAGAACCCAGAGTTTTGGGCTCTCAGTAGAGATCACATTCCCTGCACAGTGATCATAACTTGATGTAATTATGATCAAGGCAGGCTGCACAATGAATGAACTGGGCTAGGAATATACCATGAGTGTTGAAAACTGGCCAGCTGGAGGGTTTGCATTCCATCAAAGTTGGACAACTTCTACTTAGCTTCAGCCTGTTGTTGCTATGTGTCTTAGTTACTTTCTTGTTGTTGAAACAAAATACCCAACATCCACAAATTAAGAGAGGAAAGGTTATTTAGCTCATGGTTTGTAGAGGTTTCAACCCATAAATTGGTTGGTGGCTTGGCAGAGGAGTGTCACAGAGGAAAAACAGTTTATGGTGACTAAAGATCACAAAAGCTAGCAAGCAAGGGATTAAATGGTGTTTTTCTGCCATGTTTATCTTAACCAGGCTGCTTAGGACAGATAGTACTCACACCCTTAACCCTATTGCCCTTGAGCCTAGCACTGCATCGGGAATGAATCACACACTCTAGATCTGGCTATCTGCAAAGCTCTACCTATGACTGCATGAGGCTTTGGGAAAACATCTAAACATAAGCCTGTGTGAGCTTCCAAGTTGCCAGAACTCTGGTTTTCTTCAAGCAGAGCTAGATATTTATGGGCAAACATCTTTTTTTTTTTTTTTAACGGATCCATGCTGGGAATTTATTTTTAATTATTGCAGTAAATTCATTCTTCATTGTATAGATTTTAAAAAAATGTTACTGTACCTGTTTTGTTTTAGAGCTACCAATTTGAAACCTCTGTGCTTCATTCACTAGGTTTTTTTCTTGTGTTTCATTCCATGTACTGTCACTAATTCATAAATGCGTGGAAATAAATTGTTTTTTCCTGGCTTCTGCTGAACCCTTCAACCCCTCCATTTTTTGGTGCCGGTGGAGGCTGGGGGGAGAGGGTCTTGTTATGTAGTTTAGGCTGGTCTTGAACTCGCGGCAATCTTTCTGCCTCAGTCTTCTGAGTGATAAGATTACAGGTGTGTACCACTGTGCCTGACCATCACGCTTCTTTTTTTTTCTTTTTAAACACTCTATCTTTTAAAATAAGAAAGTAGGTGATCACTGAGCATTGATTGTGCTCCATTTATCCTCTGAGACTTTCATTCAAAGTCCTAGTCTTTTTTCAAATATACGGTTTCTTTATTTCCAGTATAATATCTTGATTATTTAAATTTAATAACTTACAACATCAAATTATGTGACAGAAGCAGCATCAGACTGGCTAGATAGTAAAACAAACAACCACACTTAAAAGTTTTTCTTTCCTCCTTGAGAAGGGGTGTCTTACTGTGTCACTCAGGCTGTCCCCTGTCTCTATATGATGTATTGCCATGCCTTCAACATTCTTTTTAAATTTTAAAAATTATTTTACTTTTATTAGTACATGTTTGCAGTACATAATGATTACATTGACTGTAAGGATTGATGCATGTATATAACATTTCAATTTCCTTTTATTTTCCCAGCATCAGATTTATCTATAGGTCCTCATAAAGTTATTATATATGCAAACTGAAAACTAGACTAATAGCGCAAAAAACATATAAAGCATGTAAGATAGCTGTACTGAGTTGGGGTACACTGCATTATTCACACTAGATTGCAGTACCCCTTTTTTCCTTTGACTTTTTTCCAATAATCTTTTATTTCATACTTTATATATTAAGTTTCATATAAGAGAAACAATGTGATACTTAAACTTAGGTGTTTTGAGTTACTTCCCTTATTATTGATGCTCAAGATAAAACAGTCAACCTTTTTTTAAGCCAGCCTGCCTCTGTCCTTGCAATACAAGGAGGAATGCTCCAGTAAAGCACCATTCCTTCCTTTGGAGGCTGTCTGAACCCACTGGTTCTCCTTTTTGCTTTCACATTACAGTTTTGTTTTCTCCCTGAAACCGAAGTTAGGTACATTCTGTCTTTTAAGCTTTACACTCCCCTCTCTACCTTCAGTGAGCCACGCTGTTAACAGGGTTTAAAAAAAAAAATACTGTATTAATGTTTCACCTGCTAGCCTTTTCAGCACACATTTGTTAGCACCCAGCTTTGTTTCCTTTCTTTACAGTGCTGTAAATGGCTCTTACCCTAGATTGTGAGTCCCCAGAGCAGCTCAGGCTGGTGGGAAGTCAGTCTTTCAGGCTAGAGGCATGTATTCCCGGAAGCAATCAGCCTAGTCATTTAAAAATCTTTTTTCCCTGCCTAAAAAAAAAAAAAAAAACCTTAAAAAATTTGGCTTTAGTGTCATCTAAAACTAAACCTGACAGTCCCTTTATCTTGCTGACGAAGGGCTGGGGAAGAAATCAACTTTTCTTGAAAGGATTAAGCACTAGAATGTCTGGACACTGGGTTGGTACACATACTTTTCTTTTGAACTTGACAGCAGGGCTTCCAAAATAAAATCATCCTGCTCCATCCTGCAAAGAACTGGCTTATCCTATAAATCCAGCAAAATAGGCTTGAGTACGCAGCCTGACCTCAGACACTGCCAACACTTACCCCCTCTGTGTTGATGCTGTAGGGCAGAGGTGCAGGGA